AAATATATCTTCGGAACGTTTTCATTTTTACTTATTAGAACAATATTATGATCGTTTGCAATCCTAAAACCGCGGTTTCGGCACTATACATGCCCACAGTATAATTGCCACCGGTACCTGTGGCTCGGCGGTGTGCAGACGAGACGTTGTTAAAGGGTAATAATAATAATAATAATAATTATTATTATTATTATAATATCCAGTAGTCTAGAAAAGAGTAAAAAATATACTTTAACATTATTATGGTCGTTGTTTTATCATTTGGCGCCACTACCGCCACCGCCGCTGCCGGTGTGCGGTAATAAATTCACGACGAACGAAGACAAAAAGGATGGTCGGAACGAGTGATGGTGGCGGCGATATTGGGAGAGGGAAAACGATAATTATACGTGTTCGTAATATACGACCATAAAAAACAGACTCCTCTCACGCACAAAATATAAAAAAATAAAATAAAATATATATACCAACCATATGGGCTAACAATGACAGTGCACACGGTCTCGTGGCCGCGCATAAATGTTTTGAAACATGTTAAAACTGTTGCACGCAACACAAGAGGCCCGCTATGTTATATGCGCGTGTGTGTGTGCGGGTGTGTGCTTGTTTGAGTGTGTCTGTGTACGTATATACGTACTTACGTATAGAATAATATGTGTGTGTGTGTGTATACGTATATGCAAATTAGGCTATAGTCGCCCACCTAAAAGTTATTAGAGAGACCAACGCACGCGCGCTCGCGCCAAATGAATGGTAACTGGGAAGTATAATAATATATTATATACATCTGCCGGGCGACACCTCAATACATACCTCGTACGATAATATACATAAAGCGGCGACAGTCGTTCGTCCATAATATAATATTATCATAACAGCCGCCGCCGTTGTCGGCAGAAACTTTTTAGTTCTACTGGGCGTCTGGGCTCAATATGTTATTATTATTATTATTATTATTATATAGGTACCTAGTTAAAAGACGAGTGGTGACACACGTATATGTGTGTGGGAAAAATAATATAACTTACCTATAGCTGCATAAATGTGTAAGACGTTTGTCGAAACTTAATCCGGACCGTTTAGTAAATGCAGATATACTTCACGATGTAAACCGATTCGATGATCGTATAATATACTCCACAATTATTTAACTGTATATGTATTATATACTACATACTCGTCATATATAGGTTAGATGGGTACCAGCTATTACGATTTAATATTATTATGAAATATCTTTGGTCAAAGTTTGAACCGCTCATTACCAGACGATCCGATGAATAGTTATTGAAACAACGAATGGATAGTATGACGACCGATAGTATACCTATTTATATTATACATAATTGGTAGGTAAGTACTCTTCACTGAGCACAGTGTCACTCGTGTATACTTATCGACTTATCGACGGGTTATTATTTTATTATTATTGTCTGTCTATAAAACCGGTACATATCTGCCACAATAACTGTTGGTAGAAATTAACAGAATGTATAATAAAGTGTATAAAAAACTCGTTTATGTAGGTCTTCAATATCAATACGCGCACACACACACACACATTTTAATACTCGTTATGTGTTCGATTATGCGTATGATATTGTATTCGTGTATACTTATTTTTCGGAAGGCTTGCGGGAACCGGTTTTCTTTTTACGTCAAATGGACGAGCGTTCACTTCGCTCGCGCGGGGCGACGATGATCGATGCGGTTCCGATCGTGGGCGGCGTGGGCTTCCCCCAGAGCACGGCATGGCGTACCTGTTCGATCCTTAAAAAAACTAAAAATACTCCGACCTCAAAGCCCCGATGAATATTATAATAATGCACACTGAAATTTACTTATATTATATTGTTACGACTTGAGCTCGCTCCGGTCTTATATATTATTACGTATCCGCTGACGCGGCTTCCACGTGAGATAGAAGCCGCCTTCGCGAGGGGTGGAGTGGTTTGCGACTGTGCAGGGGGGGGGGGAGAAATCGTCGGATGTCGAGTATATTATATTACTCCCCATCAACCAGCACTCGTAAACTCGGGATTTATTACGCCTAGCAGGATCTATATCGTTTGTCGCGAGAGTCGGAAATTCGCCGTCGTCCCGCGCTCGCACGGGAAACACGGTGGCAAATTTTCAAAATTAGTTCCGTCGACTGATCGCGGGGGAAACGTGGGCACGGCGAGAGAGAGAGAGAGAGAGAGAGAGAGAGAAACAGACAGACCATATGTGACTTCTGCTGCGGTGTGTGTGTATTAATATTATAATATATATACGCACAATATTATTATGTGTCATATGTAATATAACCGACGGGGTTCAACGGGTCACACCGTAAATCCTGCGCAGTGAAATGCTCATGCCGCCGCCGATTTAGCTTGTAAAATGTGCATTCTTCGAGCCTGTTAAATTGTACACGCACGTCGTCGCTGCCAAGACGAATCAGTCACGGCCGCCTCCTCGTCGTCGTCTCTCCTCATCACATCGCTCGAGCTTCGTCAGGTTCTCCGCTCGAATATTATAATTATTGTACACATGATGCGCGCACATAATACCATACCTATATACTTGTGACGTGACATCCTAGCCTCCGACGTGTTTCCCCCTAAAACAAATATAGTCTACAAAACGCGTCAACAGTTTTCCTGTCCGCAACCTAACCCATACCTACCTGCATGCTACCATACAAGCATTATATGCCTACCTATGCGTGCATGCACGTGTGTGCGACACACCTGACAAGTGTCGCTGTCGTCCACGCGCGCTCGTTTTTAATACTTTGTTTGTCCACCGTAAATATTTGTTTTATCGTCGTAAGGGGGTCCCGCGTTCATCAACGATCGCCGCCGTCGTCGCCGCGTCTCCGTACAACATAATAAACGCATAGTATATTATATCGGCCGAGTTTAGGCACTGTATTGTGTTATAATTGCATATAGGCACTCGACGAAAGTATATACGCAATTGGTGTGAAAAATCCAATCGTCTCTCTTCGAACGAACGAAAACTATCGAAAACAAAATAACAATATTATTATAATACAACGATGACTTGAATAAATATTTGTGTTTACGATTTTCTTTTTCTTTTTTATTCCTCAGCAGCAGCAGCATCTGTCGAAACGTATATAACCGAGTTAAACAACTAATTATATAATAAGCGCTCTGTTGCATAATTTGTGGTTATCCCCCTCCCCCCCCCAATAAAGCGTATGCAATATTATATATATATATTTCAACGAAATTATTGACATTGGCGGTTTCATCTTGGCTCGTCAATGGTTTGTGTTTTCCTGCATGACTGCAACAATCTAAAATCGTTATCAAACGACAAACTATATTATTATAAATAGAGGTACATTTCCAATTATTATTAAACCATTAAAAGTCTAACCTTAAAATTCGTTGTACAGGCTTGCGAGTAGGTGCAGTAGTTTTCCATTTCCCCCTCGCTCGGTTGCACACACGCCGTTGCGATATGACGAGGAGTGACCAAACACCTCGGTCGTCTCGCGGTCGACGTCCTCTTCTCGGCAACGGGTCCCTCTCTCCGGGGGCGATTTTTCTAACGGACAAAAAAGGGTGACGGCCACAGCAGTGCAGTCCTCCGGGCTATTTTTTCCACCCTTTTTTTTTCGGTGGCAAGCGTCTCGCGCGCGCGCTTTGGCTCGATCGCCAGAGAGGGCGGTGGCGGGTTAATGAAACACAAAAAACCCGATTGTGTGTGTGCTGTGCATACCCCCTTTGGTTAGGTTCCATTTTTACTTGCATTATGTGTGTGTGCGTGTGTGTTGCACGCAACCGCCGCCGCCGCCGATTGTGCAATAATCCGAAAAGAGGGTCTCGCGCCGCGATGGGAGTAATGAACGTGCAGGGAATACAACACACACGCACACACTGCAACATACAGTGCCTACCCATATACTCGCTTATATATATCGACAAATTAGTCGGACTTAATTGAACGGTGGATATTGGGGAGAGGTGGGTCATTAAAAAATAAACGACGTATTTTTGTTGTTGTTGTGTTGGTAGGTATATAGTAATATATAGTAATATATTATATTTATATTTTTGGGGATACGCGCACAGCCACGCTACGGCGCGTTGCCGATGCCAAAATATTAGCGTCCGTCGGCCAAAAAAAACCGTATAAATAGACGAAGAATTAATGTTCCTAAAACGTCGTCGTCGTCGTAGTCGTCGTTGTTGTCATGCACATTATACTTATATTATATTATATATTCTGCTCGGTCGTTTCGTAGAGAAAAAACAAAATACGTACACCGAGCGCGCGCGAATTCGATTACTACACGCGCGCGCGTGTGTAGGTCAAGTTTTTTTCGTTTGTATAGGCACTGTATATATATAAAAAAAAGGGGTGACTCGTATTTTGATTCTTTCTTCTCGGGGTTTTTTTTTATAGTAAGAAATAAAAACAAGTGTTTCCGCTCGACCGGTGTAGGTCGGTGTTGTGGTGGCGGAGGGAAAACAACAGTTATCGGTAATAAAATTCAATCGCGAGACGCGATGCTTATGAATTATATATAAGAGCGACGGAAAGAAAAACCATACACAATTTGTTTTGCTAATGTGCGCCGTGTATGGAAATCGATACGTATAACTAGAGCGGGGCGTTTGAAAACAAGTATATTTTTGTTTGTACGACAACCAGTCGGGTTAATTTAGTTCATACACACTAACGGAAACGCGGATCTTCCGGAAATGCATGTAGTTCGTCGGAAAATCGTTTTTCCTAAACTCGGACCGTCCGTCGCCGGAAATCGTCATTTTTATTATACCTACTTGCGCTAATTGGTTTCTGTTTTGTGTAATATATATAAAGGTGCACCGGGGGACTGTGATTGGAAATCCGTGTTACAGAACTGTTGTGGAATTTATAAGTCATTTAATACCCCTTCCATTTTTGTAACACGAACTACTGATCACCCCGAGTATATATATAGGTATATTTTATGCTCATGGCACGTATTGTTGTTACAGGGTCGCGGTAGGAAGCGGGGCGTGAACAAAGGTAGAGACGGTCTCGGATGGTCGAGTGTGGACCACGGAAACCCAGAGGTAAGTTTCGATTGTTTATTAGTAATATATAATATATATGGTCTATTAAGGCGTCATATATAATATATATGAATTATCGTTGTTGTTTCGTCTTCCGATTTAAAAAAGTCATAGTTCGAAAATAATATCGTAGCGTGTAGTGTGTTTTTTAATATAATATCGATCGTATCCGCCCTCGACGCCGATTTTAAGAATCACCGGAAAAAATAACCATAGTACACGATTGTGAATATAATATACTACCATGTAGTATACTATTATACGTATAATATATAAACGAGTTTTGTTTGGGTGCATTGAAACGTTTCAGTATAATATATATATATATATATACTATAATATAGTATATATACATTATATTTAGTATTATAATATATGGGTACATATTATTATATACGATAATAGACATCACTCGTAATTAGTAATTACTTCCTAACGTGTATTATGTGGCGATAAAACACGATTAGACCGGTTTTATTATAATATAATATTATGTATTTCAGTTCACGAATGGCTACGGAAAAATCTACTATATAATATTATAATATCCGATGCCTTCGCGTTATTGAACGTCCAAAGTCGTTGGTCGGTTCAGAGCCGAAAATAGTTTTAGTTGGATTATAATATTGCGATATTCGCTTACTGTTCGTTTTTATTTTTCCTTATTTTAAACGTCGGTAATTTTTTTAAGTACATGGTTTTTAATAAATACACGAGCGGCGATAACCCCCATCGCGCTGAAAACAAACTCTGAGAATTAATAAGTCTATTAAAAATCTCAACAAATTATACACCTGCGACTGTGTGATAACACTTCTAATAATAATTATCGTTGGAAAAAAATATATATAACTCTTGCATGTCATTAGTGCGGTGCGTAAATGATAGCTGGCGCATGTGTATAATATCATTGTAGCCTTACACACATTATATACCTGTGTGTGTGTGTGTGTGTGTGTGTGTGTGTGTATACATATATATATATATATTATGGTGCACGCGTACGCCTCCGTTGTTGCGTTTTATCGGTAAATTAAATTAATTACCAATAGAATAGATTGTGCGTGTGAGAGTGCGACTCGCAGGAATATGTTTTCTTTTAAACAGGCAGACAAGTATTACATGCAGTACGCGAACCAATTGTTTTTTTTTTCTTACGTTTCGAATAAAAATCAATTTCCCCTGACGTCTCATGCCGAGCAATACTATAACCTACCTACTTACATATATTGTACACTGTACCTCGCAGTAGTTGTGTACTTGTATAGTAGCCGTCGACGAAATTCTTATGACCATAATTTAAATTTACTATTACTATTATTACACGGTCGTTGCGCGAAAACGAGTTTCACGTGTTTCGGCTATTTTCGTCGTTACATCCGCAGTGTATGTTAGGTGTATATGGGATGAAATACGTTTAATTTCGAAAATAAAAGCATACAAATTAAATCAACAACGGACGTTCGAGATAAACCTCGGAACGAGAAATCCGTTCTTATGCGATTCGCCGCCGAAGAGCGTCTTTTTACCTGTCACCAGACACCTATATCGTTTGCAACACGTTTCAATTAGCAGTAGCTGCCGGTTATCGTCGAGAATTGCACCCGGGAGAAAAAAGAGATAAGAGTATAATATTATATTATGTACGAGAATTAATGTTTTAATTTCAATTGAAAACAAAATAAAAAATGTGAACGCCTCGTGTTCGCCACGCCTCGCCTATTTATAATAATATGATACAGTATAATATAATATATTATGCCTAAACGGATTTATGTATAATATTATTATTATTATTATAGTCGCGTCATTATATAGAGTGATGTTTTGCAACGGTGCGCTCGATGATGGAAATAATACATACCTATAAGGATATCGAAAATAAAAAATAATGATAATACTAAAACACTATATACAACATAATAATCGGATATTGCGGTCGACACCTACGACGTGTCTCGTAAAGATGCATGTAGTTCTATCCGGTTTAGTTCGGTTTTAAAAAAAAAAAATATTTTAACGATGGGCGACCAAAATATGTACGCTATGAATCGTGGTTTCGTGTTACATAATCGGTGATGGTCGCTAGGTGGTTTGGGGACGAAAAATTATTATTATATTATTTTTTTTAGCGCAGCCGGACAAACCGGTGTGTGTTGGTGTGCCCGCGCACGATTGTCATCGTGCATTATTTACGAACCGTTGATTTTTTTTCGCATTTTGTAACCCCTCAAAACAAGAACGGGTCGAATTTAATTGAATTAGAAATATAAAAAAAACCTGAAGCCTTTTCGTTCTGCCGCGCATGTATACCTATCCGTATATTTATATGTTTATTATGTATACGGTGTATATAGTATATACTAAATACACATATATTTTATATACCACGCGTATACATATTTAGGTATATAATATAGAAGCATAGAACCCCCATTTTTTTATCTACCTGCTTCCAATGCTACCCCGTGCACGTGTACACACGTGACTGCTAAATTGGAGGAATTATCGGTCTGTCGTATTTTTTTTTCATTATTTAATTATAAAATAATGGTCAGTGGGTATGCGCGCGTGCAATTCGATTTTTCCAATGTTGTAATTTGCATAATATTATATTTATAATTCAATACGTCGGTCACCCATCATCCATCGCACGTCCCGGGAAAAAAAAAATTCGATAATCCCTTGTCTTGGGCTGGAGGTTAGGTTTTTTATTGTTTCGTGCTGAAACACCGCGACATTAATAATTATTGCCGTGACCGTGCGAGGGTTATTATTTGTATTTTTTGACGAAACGCCTGTGTGTTTTTGAGCTCGTTTCGGCACGAGGAATTTTGCGGTCGAATAGGTCGCCGCACCCGATCATTACAGCTACCTATAATTCCTATATCCTATAGGCTACATTGCTATAACGTCAACTTTCGTGTAAATAATATGATAATAATATAGGAGGACGTGTATGGGTACCGCAAATGATGTTGGAATATTACATGGTCGGAGCTCGGCGGCACAGTTATTGTGATGCCGTGTAATAAGGCCTTTTAATTGTATCAAGTTCGAATCGGTGTTGCACACATATTATAAACATATTATTACATAGATAGCTGTACATATAAGTATATACCTAACCGTAATCGAATCGCCGAAAATAATATGTACAATGACGTATTGAATCAACAGTACCTAAATAGAGTAAAATATACGATATTCCGGTTGAAGAGCGAAATTCACCGTATGATGCCTACCGACGAGATATTATAATAATAATAATAACAATAATAAATGTAAACAAAATCGTTATCTGGCTCAAACCGTCGTCGTCGTCGTCGTCGTCGTCGTCGTCGTCGTCGTCGTCGCCCGAGGTTTAGACCACCACCGGTGCAGCGGTAGCCAGCAGGCCGGACACGACGCCAGCGATTTTTTTTTTTTTTGATTTTTTAACAACAATTATTTCAAACGCACGCGCACACAGGTAGCTTGTCGCCGCTTAATATCTTGTGCATGTGTGTGTGCGTGTGTGAGCTGCGTATGTGCCGCCCGCGGCTGTGGCGGCGGCGACCGACTCGCGCCAGGTGCGTACATAATATACAGCGCGTTGTGTAGCCGCCCGAATGTCGGAATTCGTTTCGTACGGCCGTCCCCTCCCTCCGTTTTTTTCGTCTCAGTCTAACCTGCAGAGAGGAGGGCGGCTTATGCGTTTATGTTTTTCACCATACAGAGCGATTGCCGCCTCCGCCATGCGATTTGTTTCCCGTTTACCTGGTAATAAGTGGTAAAGTTTGGCACGTTTTGACCGCGGGACTTTCACGTGCAGCTTCGTACTCACCGAATCCGTACTCTTTCGCCGTATTTTTTAGTTATTTTATTTTTTAAGTGTCGCACTCGCACAGCACTTGTCTAGACTGTATCTGTCACTCTATCTACACGTTGTCCGATATTTCCGACGTTGATTTTCATGGAAAAGAATTGTTTACTCAACAGTTCCGGATCATTTGCTTTTACATCGGTTGTCATCGAGTATATCGTGGCGCGTCGTTGGCATACGCGTGGTATAGTGGTTTACTTAGCCGCGATCGGAGTCGACTTTTCAGCTGTGTTGTGGCGCGGCCATAATAGATTACTAAAAAACAGTGTCTAGGTAGTAGTTACATAACTACACATGCACTCGAAATGGGCGTGTTACCGCTTTGACAATGTTTTAACTACAACATTATAACGTGAGCGCTCGTATATAACATATTATTATTATTATTATTAGTTATTATACTTATTAGTCATTACTCGTTACACTATAATATCATACTATTTTCCGCGGTGGCGGCGAGGCAAAACGCGTTCGACGACGGCGGCGACGACGAGCGTGTCGGCGGCTACCTATTTTATACGACGCGCGACCGACCTTGGACATGACATCACTGCGCGCGCCGCCGCCGCCGTCGCCGCGCAGTATACGTACCTATAATAATATTGAAAACTCGGTACAGACAGCCGTCCGCGCCACTTCAACCCCCCTGTATGCGCGCGACGGGGACGACTACGACACGACTCGAGTGGACGGACGTGCGTCTTTTTTAAAATTTCGGTCTTAACGGGTTCGCGAGACTTTGAGCAGATAATCTGACGGCGGCGAACTGTTATTATGCGCGCGCGTAAAGTACAATAAATCGTCGTCGTCGCATTCTAATGCCGTTTTTCCGCGCCGCAGACGATCGTCATTTCAATATCGATTCGTTGAATCCCGTAGCGTACGATTTGTGTAGTAAAAGTACGTATCGATAATATGTTATTTTTTTGTTATTCTCCGATGGAATATTGAGCGCCCTCGTCCGATCGCGTCGTCACGTGTTGTTTGTAATTTTATTTTTCACCGTGTCTTCAGCGCCGCGTCTGATCGCACTTGTGTGTTCTCGACGGTTTCCGTTACATTGCGACGACGACGACCACGCGACTATCGCGTGTTATATTTGGTGTGCTGTGTTCGAAAAACAGTTGTTTACGGA